ATTGAAATCGTTGAGGAGGATGATATTTCTATGCAAAGTTCTAGCAAATCAGAACGGTGCAGCCTCGGAAGAGAGGTACGCGATGCAAAGCAACGAAACGGAACAGCAGATCTTATAGCTCCGTTACAACCGGCTAGTTGACCGATCCCAACGAGTACGACCGGTGATACCACACCCGCTCGAGTATTTCGAGCGGAATGATGGAGAGATAAGCGAGCGAGCGAGTTAGCGAGCTCACTTGCTCGCTGGTAACGAGCCTCCAAGTCGCGCTCGTAGACGACGCCCTCGAACCAGATGCCTGTTCTCGCACCGCAATTCGGCGCGACGACACGCGCCGGTCCGATATTTAACTCGGCAACCACGGCAGGTGGTGATTTTCTGGCCGGCCGGCCAGTGCGACTCAATAAACGGATCGCTCGCAGTTAAAAGCGCGCAATTTCACACACCGAGCAAAGTTTTCGGAGAAACATTAGGGGAAATATGGGACGGTTTTTTTTTTCACTCAAATGGAAATGAAGATGGGAGATAAGATTTTCTTTCGTAAAATCAAATTTGTGAGAATCAAAGAAACATTAAGAAGCGCTTTTTACTTGTAAAAACGATACGATGTTTATGCAATAAATTCTTGAATAGTAGTAAAAGAAACATTTTTAGAAGCAATATTTTTCGTTTCTCTCACAGAAATCAAAAGATATGTCAGTTTATGATATCTTATAAATATTGCGAATGTTACTTTAGCAGGATTAATAAACATGGATAAATTTTTAACAAGAAAATTTTAATGTGTTTCAAAAAATCTTTTTAAAACGATATTGACAAACTGACAGTGTCTTGTTTGAATTTTTACATAATTTAACCAGAACGTCAAGAATTTGTTAAAATCACTGATATGTCTTGATATATATTGTTAATTATCTGTAAAAGTATGTATAAAGAAAAGAAATAGAATATTTAAAAGAAGATATCGGTTATTCTAGTTTTTGTTCGATCAAAAAACAAAATATGTTACACAACAAGTATCATTAAATTGATTTTTATTGATATTATATGTGTGCGGTAAAAAGTCACGCAGAACATTTTACAAATAATATTCAGTGTTTATTTTACCGTATAAGATTGCCGACGAAAATATCAGAACTACTGAAAGTTCCAGTTACATATTGCAAATTATTTTTAAAAAATGTTACAGTTTCTTCTATATAAGTAAAATATTGATAATCAATAAATATTTTATTTTCGGTTACGGCAAACTTTATTTCAATAGATTATAATTTCCGATACGAATGCGTTATTGCCGGTTATTTCGAGAGATACATGCTGTGATTATATACACTATAATGCAAATTGTACGAATGTGTTTGTAATTGTAATTTTTAATGAATAATAAGTTATAAATAAAATATACATTATGTATTATATATATAGTGTTAAAAATAATCTACAATGTGGTATGTAAATGTTAAAGGAAAAATATTTAATCGCACAAACAGAACTGACCTTTCCGGAGAGAAATGATTTTCGGTTTTAGCGATACGGCAATTTTAGCGGTTTACGGACAATTTACTCGCTCCTATTTATCACACGCAGCGCGTAAACAAAGGATTATCTTGCTATAATTTTCCACGAGTGTCTACAAGAGATATATCCTAAATATTTTCCTCCGATAATATCTTCTCAATCCTGAAATATCTTTCTATATACATTTTACTTAAATACTAGTTGTTTTTAGATGAACCCGATAAGGATATTATATTTAAATATAATAATTTAAATGATGAATTTTAAACTCGTTCTCACGTTAGAATGTATCAAGTCTGCTTTAAATATTACATATCGCTGGATGGACGCAGATGTTCTGCTTTGCGTATTCAGTTCAAGAAGTCCTATATGCATGTACGGAAATACAAGAGGTACATAGGTACAAGAATATCGTATACGTATAAGAAATCGATCTATCGACGGCCCATGGTTCTTCGACCATTTTATGTCCGTTTGTATCAATATAGATTAACTTTAATCTTGCTTTAGCTTACCGTTATCTTTTTCTAGTTCTAATTCTTAGAACTAGAAAAAGCAACAAATAAAGAGTAAATTAAATTTTAAAGAGAGAGAAAGTTAATCTACATTCGTAGAAATGGACATTAGTTCCTTGCTTTCAGAGAGGTAAGCGCAATAACGACGTCGACAAAAGCGATGTATTACGGTGTGATCTTAATTACTGTTTGAGAAACGCACAGTTGGAATATGTGTACACGTTTGATAGAATATACCGGAAGCAATTAGAACGAACCGTTGCGAAAACGATCTTTATTCTCGTGTGATAGCTTCGCCGGAAATAATGAACCGACAACCTGGGAATGCGCTAAGGAATAAACGAATCGGTAAATCTTCCGTAAAGGCCGGGCTGAACCTGAATACGAGGCTGGCTTAATTTCAATGAAGATGTGGAAGAGCACAATGAAACAGATAAGCAAATAATTGCGCGCGCGTATAAGAGATCGGTACATATGTATGTACATTGGTACGCACAGAAAAATATCATCCCATTGCTCAGAAAAGTGATTACTCAATTTACTTTCTTCTTTTTAAGCAACGGTTTTAACAAAAAATCTTTTTTTGTTAACAATAATAATTTTTTGATAATAATTTTAAAATGTACTTATTACAAAATTTAGAAAAACTCATTATTATGTATTTGAAACATAAATTTATTTTTAAGATCATTATTAAAATTGATCGAAGAAGTGACATTATATATTAAATAAATTGAATTAATCTGTTAATTTAATTTAATCTTCATTGAAGTATTAAGTTTACTAAGATTATATACTCAGAGTATACTTTGAATAAATTTGATGCTTGTGATACACTCAGAAAAAAAAATCGTATCAATAATTATAAATTGTAGTGAAATAACATCTCAACTGTACTATACATATTATTAAATTTTATTAAAAATACTAGATTAAGTGAACTAAGAAAATATAGTAACATTAACTATATAATTAATTATAAAAATTAATATTATTATATTTTCTTAATTTACTTATTGTTCTTATTAAAGCTTTATAATACATAATTATAAATTTGTGTATGCATTTTTTATTTATTTTTGTCTTTCAAGTTCGAAATCAACCTTGCATCTTTTATTATTTATGTAAACTGAATGGTTTTCTTCTTGAAAGAAACTAAATTCCATTATGATAAGAATCTTCTTTTCTCTAATTACTTCAACAACAATGATTAATTAGTTACATGATATAGAGTGTTTTATTAAAAAAAAGTTTTTGTCTAAACTAGAAAAATGTAATTGTTATATCTATTTGCATGAAGTCTAAATAATTACTCAATGTAGTTGAGTCACTGTTTCACTATCAATTAATAGTGCCTTCAATTTGTTACCGTGATTATATTTTTATAACATTCAGTATTACTTCAGTTTCTGTTACTTTGTAAAACTAGTTACAGGTACTTGCAAAAGTTGTCAAATTTATAGAACTATTTCGTTTTCTCTCAGTGTGGATTCGAGGATCTATGAACTTTTGAAATATTTGAAACAAATAATTATTATTTGCGTAGTACGTATACTTTTCTGTATATTTGCGATCTTTGTTATCTCGCGATGCATTTTTCCTGAGTAATTGTTTTAGTACTTTTCGTACGTTAACCTCTTAATAAAACACGTACGAAAGTAACTTAATGAACTATGCACGAAGTAAGGCGTAATTGGTCTCAGTGCTCCGAACATTGCGTGAAGTACGGTTGTGCGTGTTTGAAGTTACTTTCATAATTGCATATGCGAAAGGTGAAAATAAGCGAATATTTTTATGTATTATTACGATAATTATGATATAAGTCGCGATCTTAATAAACAAATTTAAGATCACGCTCAACAAGCGCGAATTGTTCCATTTAATATCTTGAGTTTATTATTCTCCATCCTATGCGTTCTTTGATTTATCCAAGAGAAACGATTATAAAATCGATATTCAAGTCGGCAAGTTATTGACAGGCAATAACTCATGAATAAAACATTCGTTAAAATAAACGTTAACGCACGAAATGTGAACGTTGAGCACGTTCAAACTAGTCGCGCTTTTCAATGCTCGATATTCGCTAGCGGTCACGTGACTCTCCCTTATTCGAGTCGCGTCGTTCCTTGCGTACTATCCTTACTGCTTTTTTTCTTGTCGCCAAATATTCACGTGCGAGACGTGAAGATCCGACGTAAAGAAACAGCACAATTAAAAATAAGTACGTTAAAATCGGAATATTCTAACAATAATATCGTGTAATAATAATACTGCATAATAATAATATCGCATGCTAAGATTTTAACTGTATACGATCAGATAAATATCAATTTAAAAATATGATGTAATTTTATGAATATTTCTGAATTTAATTTTCAAAAGTTGCAGTTGCAGAAGAGAAATATACCTTATGCTATTTGCCGCGTTTCCATTGACGCGGACAAACGTAGAGATCATTTATAAGTCGGCGAATATTAAATTGCAAACTAGAGCGTTGATAGGAAACTGTGTAAATTTTAGACGAGCGTCGTCGCGGTCCGACTATCGAAGGATGATGGATTTGTCATAAAGCGAGAAAGAACGTGACGGCGCAAGCAGCGAGCAGCGATGAACGGCGCGGTGGCAGCCTGGCAGCCGTATTTCAACACAGCGTATTCCGCCTTGGTAGTCCAGGTTCTCTGTTTGACAAGTACGCGCGTATTTTGCGGCCGTGTCCGAGCGCGTCCGACGGAGGCCGATGTCGACCGAAGAGCCAGCGGGCCGCGAGAAACTACGAGCGAGAGAGCAACACGGCGGCTGCGGTGGCCGTGCTCAACTGCTCATGCGCGTAGCAGAGTATAGCGGAGCACTAGTGATACTAGCAGTGCGTACTTTGCTGGTGCGTATGTGTGTGTGCGCGTGCGCGCGCGCACATATAGGACGGTATATCGGAAAGCATACGTTGGTGTATAGTAGTGTACGCGAGAGAGTCGGTGCGCCTCTCGGCCGTGGGCACAAATCGCGAGTAAAATGGAAGCAGAATTTCGCTGCGAGGTTGAGGTCCGTCGTTGAAAACAGGTGAACATGGGAAGGTCCAAGTTTCCCGGGAAGCCGCCGAAGACGGCCACCAGGAAACGGATCAAGGTGCTGGGCCAGCCTGAGGCAGCGCAGAACGATCCGGTAACTGTCGCCGAAAACATCTACTACGGACTTTCCCTGTTCAACGAAACATTCGGCGACAACGAGAAGGTGAGGGGGAAAAAGGTCGTCGCGTTGAGGCGTCCGCCGTCGCTATCCGTTGTCGCCGTCACCGTCGCCGTCGTTTTCGTCGTCGGCGTCACCGTACCGTCATCGTCCACCGTTGCCGTCGTTATCGTAGCCGCTACCATGTCGCCGCCGTTGCTCGGCGAGGCCGAGGTCGCGTGAGATCGACGAGCGTCGCGTCGCGCGTCGCACCGCGTCTCGCCGCTCGCGAGTTGCGCGTATTGTCCGGCTCCGGCAAGCGTCACGAGGACACGCACTCGGATGGACTTGCGATACGCAGGCCGACGACGAACTTTGGCGCGGCGTAGCGCGCGGGTTAACCTATCGGCGGTGATCATCCGCGGTGATAAGTGATTGTCCAACGGCAGGTGCACGACGCGTTCGCTTTGCGGTCTTTACTTGCCGTTCAATGATTCGTTTCTTAATTTACCATTGCCTCCCCTTCCGTATGTCGATCGAGCTATACTCATTTCTATACATTTTATCCTGGCTGCTTTTGGTACGGAGTATGTCAGTGACGTATGCCTTCTGCAATTCTTGCTCCATAACTTCTTATCAATGGGAAGAATGTAGGATTGTCAATTTTTTTTTTAATACGAATAAAACTTTGCAGAAGGCAGATTGTCGTGTAGATAAAGTAAATCTACTTTATAGTCATTTGTTTATTTTCATGGTTTGACAATTTGTTTGTTCACTGTACAACATACATACATACATACATATACAAAATATACACGCTTAGATATAATTATACTATGATAGATTATCATTGTCGAATAGTTTGTTATTTCTAATACTCATCTAGGTGATTTTTCTTTAGGAACATCCACCATTTCACGGATTTAGCACTAAAGAGGCTAATCTTTCTGCATCTTATATAAAAACTCAGCAACATGATGCAGAGAAGACAAGCGATAAATTGCCATCTGTCACAGTCGAAAATCTTGCACCACGGTCCAGCACGAAGAAGGATGTTATTGATATTAAAAATTCTCCTACAGACATCGAAAATAGCACAGAAAAGTTTACCAATTCAAATCCAAAACCAGTTAAAGACATCACCCGGTTACAATCAGTTACAAATCCAAATACTAAGCATTCAAAGATTCACCGAGCAAAAAGTCGTAAGAATTGCAAGAACATTAAATTTTCGAATTATTTGAAAAATCCGGTGCTAAAATCAGTGAACAACATCTTAGATCAGCATCAAAGAACCAGACAGTTACGTAATAGTACTGCAAAAAGATTACTTCAAAGGGCGAAATCTGGAAGTAATACACGTAATTTAGTAGTGCAATCAGGAGAGAAGCCTAGCACAGTGAGAAAATTTGTTTTACCCGTTCGCAGCGTGCATTCGTCAAGAGTTATAAAACCAAATAAAAGATTTATCGAGGAATTGGAAGAAATTTCTACTACAGAGTATAGCGAGAATGAAATTGGTGTACACGTAAAAAAGACTAAATTAAATCCAGATAAGCTTAGCAACTTGGAATCAAAATTGAAAGGGAATACTGTTAGTAAGTTATGTACAAAATTTAAAGAGGCAAGAAGCAAGCCAAAAAGGGTGATTCAAAGTGTAAACTCCAATGCTGAGATTATAACTCAATCAGTAAAAAATATAGAAAAATCAGCGAATTCTGTACAAAACGCACAAATATCAAAATCAGCTCATAGAGAAGTAAAGAAATCTCATACTGTATCGTGTAAGAATAAAGTATCAAACAGCACATCCGACAATTATAATAGTAATCAAGAATGCTCACAAAACTCGAGCAGGACGACACAAACTGTGAAATCAACAATTTCCAGAAATCAGAAACAGATTTCTATTCCTACAAAAGTTCTTCCCGATTCCAATGTTCCACACTTCGAGTCTTCCAGAGTTCAGACGAGATCAGGAACTCAAAATGAAATAGCAAGCGATTTAAGTAATAATCAGGTAAGCTTTAACAGTGGTGCAGGATTGACAGAAGGTGGCTGTGCAGAAATTGAGAATCAGCTTGGACATGGTAATAAAACTGCGGTTAATACATTGAACAATTTTGAGACGGAAAACAATTTATCTGAAAACGAAAGCGAGCACAGCAATCAGGAAGGCGAGTCACCCGATTTTAGCGGAATGAAACTCAATGGTGGAAAAGTTATATTAAGGAAAGCAAGATTAAAGTTGGACAATAAGTGTCTAGCTGGAACAGAAGGACCATTTTCAACAACGAGTACCAGTAACACTATGGGAGGAAGCACTAATTTAGGTACATATTACACTTTGTGACGATTTTGTATCTATTTGTTACACATATACTTTCAACAAAAACTATTCCTAAATATTATTGATTATTTTTCGTTGTAGGATTAACAGGTACTATAAAATGTGGTGTTTGCGGAGCAGTGCGATTTTATCGATTTGTGAAACAGGCACGCAAATTTGGTATTCACAGTTGCGAATCTTGCCGAAAGTTTATAAGCAAAATGATCAAACGTCAAGCTTGTGCTAAATCCTCAAACAATGTTCTTCCCATTCTTCAGTGTCATAAAGGGGACGGTTTGTGTTTAGTCCCACCTGTTGTGAGGAGTCAACAATGGAATCTCATGAGATGCGTTTATAAAGCCAGATGCCCGGCGTGTTGGTTGAAAATGTGTTTGAAATGTTATAACATTCCACCTCCTTTAAGAACTGGCTTAAACGCGTTGTTACCACCATTAATGAGAGACCCTTTAAGTATTTCTTTGCCACTTGGTCAAGACGAGGATGGTCAAGGACAAAAGTTATGCTCGTCTAAACTCAGTTGGCCCGCAGAAGATAGTTCGGAAAGAAATTTATTTAAGTCTGCTATGAGTTGGAGAAATTTTGAAATGGGACATAAGACGAGTTATCAGGGCACTGGAGGTTTTCTCTATACAAAAATAGATAAGTGTAAGACAAGTTATTTTATAAATACTTTTTTTGAAATCGCGTTTATTTGTATTTATGATGTGTTTTATTACAGTTGATTCTTCAATGAGTATATCGCCTAATAAGAAACGAAGGAAAAATAACAGGATTAAAGTAAGAAAGAAAATTAAAAATCCAGTGGTCGCTTCTTCGTCTGCCAGCCAACAGTCGCAACCTCTTAGACAGAGACTTGAGTTGAAAGGACCGAGAGTTAAGCATGTTTGTCGAAGCGCTAGTGTTGCACTTGGACAACCCATTGCAACTTTTCCTACTGTAGACGCGAAAGAAGACAACGAACATGGTAAAAACATTCCAAAGACAGTGAAAGAAAATGAGAGAATAGAAAAGAGAGATGATATAAAAGAAAAGGAAATACAAAAGCATAATGAAGATAATAATTTAAATCTTAACGTTAACACAACACAACAGTCTCATTCGAGAAGAGGAAAACCGCAACAGAATGTGTCAACGTTGCACTTTCCAGTGGTAAGATATTTTTCAAGTATAATCGAGAAGAAAGTGATCTAAGTATAGCCATATAAATATTTATTTGTCAATGACATATACTGGATGAGAGGTTCTATTTTTCTTGTACGACATCTATAAGTTGCTTTTTTGTATGTAAGTTGGTATTCCGTTTATTTAATATAAAACTTGCTACAAACTTAAATTTCGTTCATAAATTAATGTGACATAAAATAGAAAGTAAAGTGATGTGAATAATAATATATTTGTTGTAGGTGTCTAAGGCAGTTATGGATACTGTATATACAGTTTCCATAGATTTCTGGGAGCAATACGATCCTTCTGAGGTCGGAGCTAAGGGTTTTGCTCTTATCGGTTCTGAACTATTTCATATACCTGCTATTTGCTATTTGTGTGGAAGCGCTGGTAAAGAGCCGGTAAGTAATAAACGTATGAAATATCAGGTATAGAAGGATAACGAGTGGACATGTAATAGTAACATGCCTTCTTTTCGAGAACTATCAATATAATTGATCCTTCTTTACAGCTGATCCACTGTCAATGCTGTTGCGAGCCGTACCATGCCTTCTGTTTGGAACCCAGTGAATGGAACGCTTGTGCACAGCCAAACTGGTGTTGTCCCCGGTGTACGATATGTCAGTCCTGCCATCTCAGATCCGGTCCGAAATTATCCTGCATTCGTTGTCGTCAGTCGTTTCATCATTCATGTTTGTCAAAGTCCGGTGTTAGCTCCAGATTGTACAGTCCCGATCGACCTTATGTTTGTCAGAGCTGTATTAAATGTAAAAGCTGTGGTAGCGAGGGCGTCAACGTTCACGTTGGTAACTTACCTCTCTGCTCTATGTGCTTTAAGTTAAGACAACAAGGAAACTATTGTCCTTTGTGTCAGAGATGTTACAACGAGAACGATTTTGACACAAAGGTGAGTATGTACATGAAATCTTGATATAAAATAAGTTCACAATCGCAAAATTTGTTTCATATTTGCAATTTATATATTATGATCGCACACATTCTTTTAGATGATGGAATGTAGCGAGTGTTCCTGCTGGGTACATGCCCGTTGTGAAGGCCTTTCCGATGAGCGTTACCAGATACTTAGTTACCTGCCCGATTCGATCGAATTCACGTGTAGCCAATGCTCTTCCAATTCGAGTTCCTCTATTTGGAGGAATGCCATAGAAGCGGAACTGAAGGCGGGTTTCATCGGGGTGATAAAATCTCTAAGTAAAAATCGCAAGATTTGCACGGCTCTCAAGTGGAGTCCCAGAAAGGAGTGCCTTTGCAGGCCCGTTTTGAGTGTAAGAAAACTTGAGTTTCCTGAAGAAGACAAAAATGAAACGAACTGTACAAAAGAAAATGAAGAATCGGAAGAGTGTAATGGTGACAAGTCCATAGATATCGACTCGAGTTCGGGTGCCAATTACAGGGATGGTATGAATAAGCCTGATTTAGAAGAACATTCAATAGATAATCCCATTAGAAAAGGTCTGCGACGACTACGACAGAAATTCCATCTAAAAGAATGCTCGGTTAGGGTGAAAAACTGCGTTCCGAAGGACTCTCAAGATAACGAGAAAAAAGACTTGACAAATCAAGATTCATTAGTTTCTTCAACTTCAACCGATGTCACGGAATGCCATTGTTCCGAGCAGCAAATCATCGCAAGACCCTCGCCCACTTTAATGTCTGTGAAACGTAAGGTAAACAGTAATGAATATAAATCGTTATTACAATTTCATTGTGATATGATGCACGTAATCAATCGTGTCGGTTCAAAAGATCTGATAGAAACGTATCACGAGATTCTACAAGAAGTTTTTCCATGGTTTACTCCGAAAAATTTTAAGAGCAGCGACAACAACGCTGATACGTTAATGCCTACTAAAGATGTTGGCGAAGACATTGCTCTGACGACAAAGTTTGACGATCCTATTCTGGAGGCATGGAAGGAGGAAGTGATGAAAGCACCGAAAGCAATCGCAGCAAAAACGGCGAATCTATATAATATTCACGTCGAGGACAGCAGATCGTGTTGTTTATGCAAGGGTTTGGGTGATGGGCACGAGACAAAAGAGGGAAGGTTACTGTATTGTGGGCAGAATGAATGGGTACACGCGAATTGCGCGCTATGGTCAAACGAGGTGTTTGAGGAAATCGATGGCTCACTGCAGAATGTTCATAGTGCCATTTCGAGGGGTCGTTTGATTCGCTGCTCCGAGTGCGGTAAGAAGGGCGCGAGCATCGGATGTTGCGCGAAGAATTGCAGCAATACTTTTCATTTTCCATGCGCGAGGAATGTCGGACTCGCTTTCAATGACGACAAAACTGTATTTTGCATCTCACATTCGAATACGAGTCACGTCTATAAGTCTCTGCAAAACGAGAACGAGTTTAGTTTGAAACGACCGGTATATGTGGAGTTGGATCGTAAGAAAAAGAAATTTGCCGAACCCAACAAAGTTAAGTTAATGATAGGTTCTTTGATGGTCGACTGTTTGGGCACCGTCATTCCGGAATTCTCTGATACGGCTGAGAAGATAATACCATGCGATTACAAATGTTCTAGACTTTACTGGTCCACAGTGAATCCTTACAAGATCGTGAGATATTACATTAGAACTTATGTGCAGGTATATATGCCGGACGTCTCGTCCGACATGGAGAATAACATCACTATCGATCATAGCAAGGAGCAGGAGAAAGATGAAGTACCGACAGATTATTTCGCCGTCAAACAAACTCTAGATGCGCTCATCGATTTCGTGTGCAACAAAGAAGTTGATGAGAATTTAGCGGAGCAGAACAATACAGATCTTTTGCCGCCGGAATTGAAGGAGGCTATATTTGAAGATTTGCCACACGATCTGTTAGACGGAATTTCCATGCAAGACATTTTTCCAAAGATGTCGTATGAGGATTTTTTAGCCATGGATTTAAAGAATGATGGCTCTTTCAGCACGGATTTATTCAAGGATGATATGTTGTCGTCAGAAGTCGAAGAGACGATAAAACCGTCGGAAAGTAAGATCTCCAAAATAGATTCGTCTCTGTTGGAATTAGGAGCGCACAATGATCTCTGGGTACGATTGGAAGCAAAGACTGCGATGCAGGATCTCATGGACGACTTATTTAATTCAAAAAGCCAGAAACGCGGCGGTAGAGAACTGAAACGATCCAAATCAGAGGTGATGTCGAACAATCCGCTGATCGTCGGCGGTCAAAGGCATCATCAACGTTCCTGCAGTCTCACATGGAGCTGCAAGCTCGACAACACTTATGGTTCTAACATAAAAAGACGGAAGTTGCCCCGAAATCCATCCAGTACCAAGTCCAGCGAAACCGGTCTTATTGTTCTTGATGCGCAAAACGAACGTACGTCGATGTTTCATGAATTGAGAATCCCGGAGAGTATTATGGTCACTGTGGGAAGAGGAAACACGCCTAACATACTATCCGATTCTGTGCGCGAGTTGAAATATTGTATTGAGGACTCTGCTGGATTAAATCGCCGCGTGTTACCAGCCAGGGACGACGTAAAGGAACACAAGAGGCTGCTTTGGCATCCAAGACAGCAGCAACCGCGAATAGTGCAAGTCGACGGGTCGGTTGACGCTAATAGTGCCAGCGAGTGCAGTTCACCAGAATACAATGCCGAAGAGAAAAACGCGAATCTTCAAACATCTGAATCATTATCGATCCCGCAATTAGACGGCATTAATGATGAGCACTCGTCTGATGCGAGCGAGTCAAGCTCGGAAATGGAACTTGGCTTATACGCGCGGCCTTCAAATCTTTTACATTCAAAGCGTATCTTTGGTTTCATCAGATCACATGTGTCAAGTAACTGTGATAAAAAAACGAAGAGTGGCAATAGCAACTTTATAACCGCACCAACCATTAGATGTACCTCGCACAAAGCGGAAGTCTTGTTCAAGGAGAAGAATCTCAAAATGAATCTGCAGATCCCACAGGTCGATGGTGCAGGCGATATCTCGAGCGACGACGAGTGCGTCTCGTCGCAACATATGATGACGCATGAAAGGTTACTTCATACCTCATACGAATCATCGCCGTTCGAGGATATCGATGTCACTTGCAAGAGATGTGGCCTCACGTATCGCAACGAGGAGAGTTACAATCGTCATCTGAACAACTGCGATACTATGATTACTAGTGATAGCGACTCGGAGACCATGGACAACAAGCTGGCATCGCCAGAATCGGGGTTTTCCCCAAACATGGGTTCGATGTCATCGCAATTCATCACGCTTTCACCATCTGAGGGCCACACTCTAACGACCGATTACTCAGATATTCAAGCGACGTCACCCATCGAGGCATCCGTGGCGTCGCCTCATCCGAGTATCCAGATTGAACCGATTGCCCAAGCGATCATTACGCCACAAATTCATGCGACGCATGCCACCGTCGAGACCGTACACCAGACAGTATTAACGTCCAATGACGTGATCGTACAGACTCAATACACCCGTAGAACCACCACTCTGCCGAACCCAGCAGTATTACCTCCTCAGGAAAGCACAGTGCAGATAACGGAGATCACAGATCCGCCGTCCATCTCCAGCGACTCAAATGCTACGGCGCATGGTATCGTGAATACACCGATGAGTTCGCCGGACAGCACGAGCTCGCAGACCGTCCCAAGTCCGGAAATGTCACCCAGTTTTTCGTCCATGGGCGTACAAACTGCGCACGAGTCTATGCAGACGAACGCACAGATCACCCGAACCTCTTCCAAGAAGAATTTACGGGTAGCCAAGCCTAAGACCAAGAACATCAAGCCACAGCAACATGTTTTGAAAAATGTAATACAGTCGCCGCAAAATATCGCGCACAATGTCAAATTTCAACCGACAACAATGTCAAACGGTCCACCGGTAATCCAGTTACATCAGACCACCCCGAGACCGCCCACAGTAATCCTTCAGCAAGTGGCGTCACCAGGAATTGTATCCGCTTATGTGGAAGCACTGCAGCAACAATCTGGTCAAAATTTACAATACATCACGACAATAGGTGACGGGCAACACGAGACCGGTTTCAAACCGCAGCTGATCGCTGCAAATTCTTTAGTGCCAGGCACCTATATACAAGCACCGTCCACCGACAATCTGCTGCTACAAAACGGTGGTATATCGATATTGCCGAGCGTGCAGATTGCGCAGACACAGCCTACTGTATTAGGTACCATCATACAACAACAACCCAATGCAATCCAATGTGGCGTTATATCATCGGAGCAACTGCTATTGAGTTCTACGCCTACTCTGGAAATGTTTGCCGATCCAACCGGCGGTATGTTTGTATCGAATCAACCAATGTACTATGGTCTGGAGACAATCGTTAGCAATACCGTGATGTCGTCTAGCCAATTCATGACTGGCACAGTGCCACAAGTATTGGCCAGTAGTTATCAAACAACAACACAGGTATTTCAAGCATCTAAGCTGATGGAGCCTATCGTGGATGTACAAGCTATGTCGGGCGTACCTACTGTAACAACGATGCAGAATGTATCGAGTATGCCGAACATATCTGGTATGCCCAACATAACTGGCGTATCTAACATAGCGAGTATGCAGAATGTGAGTGGCATGTCCAACATGTCTGGAGTACCTTACGTGGTGGTGAACCAATCGGCGCCGTCGTTACCACCAGCAGCAGCTCCGGTACCATCACCAGCACCAACATTGGCATCGGCACCGATGCCAGCATCGGCATCAATACCAGCACCAATGTCAATACCGACACCAGTGTCAATACCGACACCAGTGTCAATACCGACACCAGTGTCATTACCGACACCAATGTCAATACCGACACCAGTGTCAATACCGACACCAGTATCAATACCAACATCAGTATCAATGCCAGCACCAATATCAATATCAGCATCAACGCTAGCAGTGGAACCAATTGTAACGCCACCACAAATCAACATTTCCGCCACATCTCCGGAACGAGCTTATGGTGGCATCGCGTGTAACGTCGTTACACCGGTACCGTGTCAAAATGCGACCATAGAGCATCCAATGGCATCGATTCAAGTGGCAGATGTGTGCTCATCGAATGCGACGTCGATAAGCGCAATGACACCGACAAAGCTATCATCGTCGGCGCCACCACCGCCACCTCCACCACCTCCACCACCACCACCGCCACCACCACCACCACCACCACCACCACCACCGCAACCAACATCACCACCGCCATCAACACCTCCATCGTCGCTACCATCGCCGCCATCATCAGCACTACCACCTCATGCAATGCCAATGATACCTCGTGTCGCTGTGAGACCCAGTCCAGTCACGCATTTGGTTCAGGCGAATCATGGAGCTTGGAAGATCACTGAGCCGTTGTTCGGCGCGGAGCAACCGATGAACAACAGTGTGCGACCATATTTCGATTCGAAACACGTATCGGAGAACACTAGCATGATCAAGTCTAGCATATCATCATCTAAGATACCACCTTTATCGAATCATTATGTTACGCAACGGAATCTAGTTTTAAATCATAAGTCAAATCACGATGTAAATAGCATACATAAAAGCTATAGTAACGGTATCGCGTTGAATCCGAACTCGATGAACACATGCATCAACAATAACAACCCAATCATTGTTTCTAATTCCAATTCCGTGCAAAACAAAATTACGATGCCGACGAATAACATGCCGACCAGTAGACCGATGAACAGGGTGCTGCCAATGCAGGCGGTGACACTTAAGCAGGATCCAGCAAAGAAAGACGATTTGGCGATTGAAGAGCCGACGAAACCGGTAATCAAGCCAGCCGAACCGGAAATCGTAGAATCAAAGAAGGAAATCATCGAGCAGATCGTGCAAATAAAAAAACCTGAAACCGCACTCAGCAATATCAGTGACAATATCAAACTGAATACAGAAACTATAGAGAAAGTAAAGGAGAATCTCAAATTGGAACTTGATAAGGAGAAGCTACAAAACACATCGTTGAAGATAGTGCTGCAGAAACAGTTACAGGACGGTTCTTACAAGATCACGCGCAACATGAAGGCGGTCACTCAGAGCAAAAAGACACCACAAGTAACATCTGTGGAGATATTACCGTCAAAACAGGTGCCTCAGATTGCGTCATTACAACTGTTGCCGATCAAAACGTTTACGCTCAAAGCGAACAAATTCGAGGACAAAGTGAAACCTATGGACGCGAAAGTGAACATACTTAAGGCAAAAGCGCCACCCGTAGCTGTCAAGAAACCCAGAATAGTGACGAAATCAATCAGACCGCTGCGAAACAATCCGCAGCAGAATCCGCCGCAAATGCACAATTGCTCGAAAGGACCGATCTTAATGTATGAGATCAAGTCGCAAGATGGCTTTACCCATACTGCCTCGTCTATGACCGAGGTTTGGGAGACAGTGTATCAGGCGGTACAGAATGCGCGCAAGGTTCACAACTTGTCTCCTCTGCCTCACAATCCGTTGTCCGAGGGTCTCGGTTTGGAGAATAATGCGGCTATCTACTTGATTGAACAATTGCCGGGCGTCAACAGATGCAGCAAATATAAGCCCAAATTCCATACGTTGGAGCCGCCAAAACCCGACGAGATGGAAAATGAGTTGCCGGCAGCGTGTGCCAACGGAGCGGCACGAGCAGAACCTTTTAAAGGCAGGAAAGTACACGACATGTTCAGCTGGTTGGCGTCGCAGCATAGACCGCATCCTAATATAATTACAATATCGGAAACAGAATCTAGGTAAAATTCACCACCACGCTTATATAATGTAAAGACAAAATTGCTATTTTATAATTGTTTTTTGTAAATTAATTCATGTGATTTCTGATATTTAATTATCAATATGAGTTTTAATACTTTCATTTTAATGGTCTTGTGCATCATCGGTGTGATATATTTACATTTTTTATTTTAATAATCACATATCGTTTTTTGATACACATTATATATTGAATATAAGTTATACTTTTTTAAACTATAAATAAAATCTGTAATATGAAAAATAAACAAGTGCTATTGTTAATAATTTATTTAATAAAGCATTGTGACGAATACTGTTACAGGCGAGCCGTGAGTACCAATTTGCCTATGGCAATGCGCTTTAGAATACTTAAAGAAACATCAAAAGCATCTGTTGGTGTATATTATTCCCATATACATGGTAGAGGACTGTTTTGTTTGAGAGATATCGAGCCTGGTGAGATGGTCATTGAATACGCCGGTGAAGTAAGTAGCAAACTATTCATATTCACATATTAGAAGATCATGTCACTTGTAATCGGTATCGGTTAGATAGAGATCCTATAATCTAACAGAGATTCGCAGAGCAGTCGACAGGAGTTGAGTATATTGATAAATATATTGATAAATTCAATATGACAGCTACTACGAATTACTCCAGCCAATTAGAGAAATATATTGATCACGTGACACTTTGTAAATGTCTGTTACACTATAGAGTCTCTAGTATCTATTATTATTATTATTATTATTATAACCATTAAAATTATTGATTATCTTTAGGTTATTCGATCTTCCTTGACCGATAAAAGAGAAAAGTATTATGACAGCAAGAATATAGGCTGTTATATGTTTAAAATCGACGATCATCTAGTTGTTGATGCTACTATGAAGGGAAATGCAGCTAGGTTTATCAATCATTCGTGCGAGGTACGGAAGATTTCTTTTTCTTTATTTTTAAAACAAAAATTTACCTATTACTACAAATTGACAAAAGCTTTTATTATTATCTAATAACATTATTTTATTTGTATATAAATATTTTTAAATATATAAAAATCTAATTATTTTAAATTGCACTTTCTATAATTTGATTATGTAATATATAATATATATAATTAAACATTACGTTAATATTATTATAATCATTACGTTGAAATATTTGATAAATATGTATTATACGAAAATATGTATGTTATAGCCAAATTGCTACTCGCGAGTGGTGGACATACTAGGTAAGAAACACATACTGATTTTTGCTCTTCGTCGCATCATTCAAGGAGAGGAGTTGACATATGACTACAAATTCCCATTCGAGGATATCAAGATCCCGTGTACTTGCGGTTCTCGCAAATGTCGCAAATACCTCAACTGAGACTGCGTATATACAGCTTATCTTAAGCAGCTGACCGAAGACAAAGAAATAAAATATGTGCTATAATTGCGCGCGCGCTTTCGAATAGGATTCATTTTATTGAATGTTATTCATTTTACTCATCATCAAACTATTTTCAGAGATTGCAGCTTTTTATTACTATATAAAAGAACATAGATTATACATTTTAAAGATTAGAAGGCCAGACGTAATACGCGAAGCACAGCGATTACGATGATGTTACTTTAGACAGCTACGTTCCTGTAGTTGATTTAACGGGGGGTATATTTACACATATACCTATAGCAATAAACCATTCGAGTATCTCCTGCTTTTGTATCCGACAAAGTCGTGCGTTTTACTAACGCGCTTCAGACTTGTGAAAGTGTTATTTTATTCACGCCTGTGCTTTCTCGCACGACTTTTAGACTCTACGTATTATCTACTGTTGAGGCTTAAGTGTACAAGTTATCTTACACTTTACACTAAATGCGAGAGCTCCTTATACGAGAGCGCATAATTCTTGCATGGTATGGATCTCTCGATGCTTTGATCGGATTTCAAAATAAACTCTTTCTCTTAAACGAAATTATTTTTATCATAAGGATAAAAATGAAAAATAATGCTGCTAAAGTACTACGAGAAACTAACGGATTTTTGACAATGATCATAAGTTTTCTTTTTGAAAGCTATTTACATTTCTTTCAAATATCACAAGATAAAAATAACGTAAATATAGTGTACAAAAGATCTTGTCAAGCACGTGAACATAAAATGCGCGATAATTGTATATTTAGATGATTTGTAAATTTTAAATTTAGTGTACAGTGTATGACTAACTTCGTGACATTTCATGTCTGCTGTAGGGCCAGATTTCAAATGTTTTTGTAAAATATGTAATTGTTAGACTAGATATATCGTCTTTGATGTAAGTACAGCAAATCAGTTTTAACTTAAGTTAGGAATGTAGGTATTAAGGAGAGAGATAGAGAATGGCAAGCGAGAACAGTCTCCTATAGCAGGATATTGTTCGAAGGTATACCTACTTTGGCAGACATTGATACGATTTTGTTTTATTGTTCACGTGGCATCATTGACTAGAGGATATTTGCTTTCCAAAACTATTTATTCAATGTAAAAATGAATGGCGCGAGTTCGATATTATTTGTCCTCTCTTTTCCTTTTTGTACATTTTTTTAAATATCGCGTCTATATTTGTGCTTCCACCTTGCCAAGATCATATTCATATTCGAGTTTATTATCCGAATTCTATTGTCTGAATTATATGAGACACGACATTTTGTTTGACGAGTATTGAATAGAAGCGTTAACGGTTTTAATAATCCTTTTAAAAGAATTTTTTTTAATCGAAAAATCGGTTTGTTCGTCGGTCAAATCGACGAAGATTTATGCATTGTTTGGGATAAACGTCTCCGGACATGTTTCTCCGGCGAACGTTTGTGATATTTTCCCATAATGGGAAATATATTAGAGATGCTTTTATAGGAATATATATTTTACATTTTTACGGATATATATATATATGTACCATGTATTCCGTACCAATACCCTTCTGTGAAGTCCAGTTTTGCCTTACTTTTACATGTACCTACGCTTTCACCCGGTGATAGATTTAGATATATATATTTACGCAAATGATATTTTATATTCGAAACTAACAACCGCAACGGCGCATGGCACGGCGCCCTCCGATACAACTACATCGTATTTTAGCGCGATTAATCAATTTCTGCCGAGGTGGTAGTCCCTTAAATTTTGGTGCTCCATGGACACCGTTAAGTGCACTTTTCATGAAAAAATGGCCTAGAGTAAGAGATAGTAAGGTTGCAGTGCGGAAGTGTTTGATAATAATAAGAAATGCGTTATACGAAGAATATTGATCGTGAATTATTTAAAGAGATAATATAAAGGGGTGAAATGGTGGCACACACATAGGAGCGCATTATTTGAGCACACGAATAATGTCAGACGTGCTGCGATTTTAATCGGCCTGGTTTGGTACAAAGCGCATATGCTGAGTTGTAAAAAGTTATAAAATCGCGGGAAAACGGAAACCTGTTCTGGTCACGTGAAATTGCCATCTTTTAGATATTTTGTGAATCTTTTTTTTTTTTTTTTAATATTATAATTATCGATAATTAATGACTATTATATTCGAGGAGATGAATATTGTTAATATAATGATAATTAATTTTAATCTGTACATGAAAAGTAATACGACTAGTAAGGATGGTAACTTACTTGAAAATATAACAATGTTAGATATTTTATTGATATTTATTGATTATAAACGATATGGTATTAGGGTTGACGAAAAAGTACTAATGTAAACTGAATGATTTAGGACCGGTGCACATATATGGTAGTCACATTGATTAACGCGGATACAAGGATCAAATCCTTTTTTTTTTTTTTTTTTTTTTCCTAACAAACAAGCAATCGTGTATCTTTAATTTGATTACAGTCTTCTGATTGTTACGCTAGAATAATCGGATGTCAGAATTTATTTGGGCTTTACAAGGTGTATTCTCTGTAGGCATACATACCATGTAACTCGATTTTTACATTGCTCTGTATTATGATTATAAGCTGTAAGCTATCCATCATTGTCCGATTTCATTTCTACGTTCGCGAATAGATTTAAATTTTTCAGTACAGCGTTCCCTTTTCATTATTTGTATCATCGACGACTTCTGTAAAGTACCCACTCGAGTACTTCAGCAAAAAGTATGGAACAGTTTAAACGTATGCTTGTAGCGGAAGATTAAAAGCGTATGTGAGAGAGTGAGAGAGAGAAAGAGAGATTTACTTGTCTGCTAATAATCCTTACCTGATGAATTCGGACGAATATCTATCAGGTGCTTTCTGGAACATACTCTGTGTCTTTTTAAACTACTCTTTAAACTGCGTAAAAAGGGTGTATGACCCTCCTTAGAGAGTATTACGCATACAGCCTTCACTATGATTATGATTATGATTATTATTATTATTATTATTATTATTATCGCTATTAATTATAATCTATACACACACAAAAAACGAGAAAGAGAAAGCATAATACATCACTACTCAAGTCACTCGTATTTGGGCATATTAAGCACCGTTTGTTTATTACACCCATCAGCACCTTTCAAAAGTAACGCTGCGTGTAAAAAAATGATGAACATCCGAAGAAATGGTACGATGAATAAACTGTTTAATAGTTTACTAATAATTAGAGGAAAAAAAATGATACTAATGTATAGATGTAATAGGTAGATTGTTTCTCTCTGACTTTTACGCATGTTTTACCTCTCGACAGACAGATTCGCTTCGAAGTTCGAACGATTCGAATCCGAATGGACGTCGCATTTCAGCGTTGCGTTTAAAATTGCGAGTGATTAAGTGATTTCGCGGAACGTGACGAGCGCGCGGTGTGCGTTCTCACGACGCGACGGTTTCGGCGCATCATCACGCTAATTGCGATCTTTCATAATTGAAACTTTGGTCTCATTGCGCTCTTTAAATTTTTTTTTTTCTTCTTGAGAAAAGGATAAGCTGAGAATATTAAAATATTACAATTTAAGCAATTAAAAGAGGGAGAAAAATTGAAATATAAAACGCTTCTTAAGACGTGTATAAACCTACTATTCTAATGTTTAAACAAAGTGTAGAATTTTGAAATATTGTACTTGTTTAAAAAAAAAAAAGTAAGAGGGAAGATAAATAACAATTATTGACAAACTCGACGATGGTATGAAAGAGAAAAAGAAAAATTGAAAAAATTGTCTGTGATTATCAGTCATAATAATCTTTAGGTCGACATATTTTTTAGAGAATATTTTTTAGGAAATTACAAAATTTATGATATATCCCTATTATTGATATGATATTGGATCAGATCATGTGCTATACGCATAATAATATTAAAAGTGAAATTGAAAAAAAATGAATGATGAACTGTAAAAGTTGCAAACTGTTTAAATAGAGTTACAAATAGTTGAGATTCGATGGCTGTTGTAAAATATTCAGTGTTTGGACAAATAATTATTAAAAAACTATTTATAACTAATATCGAAGTACGATAATATTATTATATCGCATATTACAGTAGCGTTTTTATCCCTTCTTGCGTTTACATATTTATGACGGATATAGGTTGTAGAGAAAGAGAGAGAGAGAGAGAGAGAGAGAGAGAGAGAGAGAGAGAGAGGAGAATTTCGATAAATGAGGCCCGATCATGGAAACCTGACTCGCGATTAAATGAATGAACGAATGAAGAAACGATATTATGAAAACGAAGGAATGGGGGATGACGATAACGGGACGGATAGGGGGCATTTGCCACACGTTTTTTGCGTGTAAATTATCGTTATCAATCCATCTACTTATCGTAGAAAACTTATGAAGTTTAATCGTAATATCTACATTAATCAGAAAAGGTACGCGTACCGCATAGAAAAAGAACACATAGCTGCTTTCATCACAAGACACGTACTCGTACATACACACACACAAAACACACAGATATGCCCATGTTTTGTAATTAAATGTTTTGTTAGTATATATTATACGAGAAAATTAACAAAATAAAAACAGAAGTGGAAATATGAGAGAAACATGTGTGTGTTGTACATTTTACCATACGCGATGTATTCCTCTCTTTTGTTTTATAGTAATTTGTGTGTGTCTATGTGTAGTAGTAAATCAGCATCGAGTGTACGGCACGATTACAGTTTGATGCCTTCTTGATATCGTCCTCAAATACCAAGTTCGCTTAAATTAAAAGAACATGAAAACATGCATCATGTCAATTTCTCTTTAATGTTGAGGTCTTAATTTAATTCTCAGAATTCAACTCGAATCGAGGAAAATTGTATATATTATAGTTAGAGTCACTTCAGTCTTTATTATATTGAGGCTTCTTGGTATTCACGTTGCGGCAAACAACGTTTTTCATTGTTTTTTTTTAATATATGCATATATA